CTGCGGCAGCCGTCGAAGGGGTTGAGTTGCAGTGCAGGCGGAGGCGGCAGTGGAAAGCTGAACCACGGAAGTCGGCCGCTGGCTCCTGGGAAGTCAAAGGCAGGGCGAGCGAGCGAGCCGCGACAGGAAGAGTTGATGAGGGTCCTGGGGACGGTTTGTTTGGGGGTTGCTGGAGATGACCTATTCAGGCCTAGGGGCGTCGAAATGTCAGGGTCGAAGGGTGTTCGTCTCCCCCGGCTGGCCCTTTTTCTCTATGGATTTTCAAGGGTCCGTCTCCTTGGGAGCTGGGAAGAGGGATCGGCTTCCTGGGGTTACCGGATCGGGGCTGGATTCGGCTGCGGGAAATAGGGTGGTGGACACACTACCGGGCAGAACGCGCAGCCACCCAGCGAGTATTCCGTGCTAGGTCTCTTTCGAAGTAGAGGTGGAAGATGAGGACGAGGACGAGGACGGTGACGGTGACACGAGGCCAGAGACGGATGTGGGAGGTCCAAGTCAGCAGACAGGTCCGATGACCTTAGAACAGTTGGGCACAGGTGTAGGTATTCGTGCGATGCCCAAGCAACTGAGCATCCGCCCGTTGTGTTTGTGCTGTGGGTGGCTTGCCGTGTCGTGTTGTGTACCCTGGAGTAGGGACGCGAGTCAACAAAGGAAGAGAAGGGAAGAAAAAAGCGCGCCAGTGCAGATCCCCAGCCAAGTGCGAGCCTCGGGTTGTGTGGTGACTGGCGACTGGTTTTGTTGTTGTTGGGCGACGGTGTCGAGTAATGTTGATGTTAATCTCTGGCTGGCTGGCGATGGAAAAGGGCAAAGAAAGTCCCGGTCCTTCCTGTCCAGTATCGTACGGGATACGTACTTGTGCCCGGGTATTTTCTGGTGAATTCACCAGGAAATACGTACTTACACAGATAGGTACACCACTTCAATAGGTACTTTGAGTAGTTCTCAGGGCTTTGTTCTCAAGGAAGAAGCAGCAGTGTGAGAGAGATACGAAACGAATTGACGGGCCGTTGAGAAGAACAACAATGGAAGCCAGATCGTCAGGTCGGCGCTGACAGGTGGAAGGACAGTGAAAAGAAGAGACGGAAACCAAGAGCCGACGAGTAGACATGCCTAGGAACGAGAAAGGATGAAAGACGGCCTGGCCGACGGGTTTTCCACCATCAGACTTCGGTAGGTAAACTGTGAAGGTGCTAGTGCTGTCGACAAGCAGTTGGACGTGCGCCACGCTTGTTGCAGATTGCACGGGGTAGCCCGGGGAACCGAGTCGTCTTTGTGTGATCAAGATGGGTGCTGTTGATGTACGGGCAGGTATCCGTAGGTGTCCAAGGGATCAAACGGTAGGACTTATGACCTATATCTGCGACTTGTATGGACTTGGAATGTAGCCCGAGGAACCACAGCAGAAGAGTGCATCCCGTGACAGCTCAGCATCATGTCGGAGGATGGTGGAGGGATGGCTGCGATGCACGAAGCCAGTTTTACAGTTGACCATATTACTCGACTCTTGATAGTCAACATGCGCAGTTGTTACTGTTGACATTCATCACACAGCGTCGCAATGTTTACATTACGGGTGAAGAGCCAGTACAGAAACCCCGAACCGCCGCCTCAACTCGCAAGGTTGGTTGCAACCACAATGAAATTGCAGTGTGGCAGATGTCGCGGGCGCCGTGGTGAGTGTCAGGGCTGTCAAACAATGGAAGGGGGCAGATATATCGGTACTTAGTGTTTCGGATATCTAAGTCGAGGAACGCGGAAACTTGCCTTTGCTGTAGCTTCTGGGGATGTATCCGATACCTCCAGCAAGAGAAGATGTCGGTAGGCCTTAACGTCAATGTTCGCTGCCCTCCATCACCATTTTCCCATCCCAAAATCCCATTTCCACTTGTAAAACTTAGCACTGTTGGCAGCCAACAGGCAAAATTGATTTTCCTCTCGCAGGCGGCATGTCTCTCGATTATGTGCAACTCCCCAGGGTCTCGGTCCCTGGGTGCAGGCACCCTGGAAATCCCACCCTTCCCGCAGCGCATCCTTCAGGCTAGGCCGACTGCAACCCTGTAAGCGGAGGTCCAAAGTCAATTTCCGATGTTTCCTCTCTGAAGTCTCCGGTCTGCTCAACGGTTGCTTGTGCTTAGCTTGGTGTAAGAGATGGGAGCATCGACATGTGTTCGGTTCTTGAATTTCGCAATATGGCGAGAATTCAAAGAAACATACGGATAGTTGAAGACCAGCCTCAGCAAATGTCCTTCCCCATTCCAGCCCAGAGACGACTCTGCTATTGACTCATCCTGTGGCGTACGTCGTTAGCAACCAGGCTTTGAGAAATTGAGACCTTTGCAACGGGAAATTGGCTGTCACACTCTCATGCACCCGACAAATGAAGGGCAACATTCCATCCATCCACCACGGCATCTCACCGGCGCCTCACCGCCTGCTCCTCTTGTCAGCTTGTTTGCCTCAGTGCCATGTACTATGTAGTAGCCGAGTATTCAGTGATGGCCACTAAGACCAATCGACTGCCATAAATGTCTTACTTCTACCACGGCGGTGGGCTCCCTATCACGAGCACTGCCTTGTCATATGCGTTTGAAACAGACAAAAGGCATCGAGGATAAGCGAGTACCGGGGAAGCGCTTCCATGCCAAATCTGAACGTTCGCAAATGGGAGTGAATCATATCCATATTCTCCTCGTCAAGGATGGCTTTGTGTGACCCTTCGCTTCCCCAGATTCTCTCGACGTAGGCATACCTTCTGAGTTAGATTGTGAGCCTAAACTACAATATTTTAGCGCTTCGATTCGACGGCGTTGAGTGATGACTGTAGGAGATGATGGTCACAGCAATTGGCGATATGTACGGACACTTTCACTGTAGGCCTTGACCGGCGATGTTGTATCGTGAAATGGTAAATTCCCATCCCCGAATTGCGTTTGTGGCACGGGCCATCCCCCGTTCGGCTCCGGCGCAACGGCGGCCCCCGGTTTTTCCGGAGCTCGAGTTTTTCCTTGCTCCTGCCGATGACGAGAGGCCCAGTCCATCAGGGTACCCGTCACGCCAGAATCCCCAGCCATGAGACGAAACCGCCTTGACGTTCCCCCTCAGTTCCTCCAGCTTCCTTTTCTACAATTTCTAAAGAGAAGTTGATTGCCTTATCCTCTTGCCAACGACACATCGTGCCGCGAAAACTGCCAAAATGCCTCCCAAACCCGCCCAGTTCGGTAGAATCGGCCTAGTCATTCCGCTCTTCTACCGTGTATTCTTCCTGGGCATCGAGCCTATCTCTGCTCTTGTCGGCGCCTATTTTGCCCATGTTCGACCCGACGAATACCTCCAGCTCACTCATTCCGTCTCGAAACCCGAAATAATCCCTCAGGGAACTTCGATCGTCCTCTCCCAACTCGCAAACCTATACCTACTCTTCGCTCTCAACGAAGCTCTTGTTCTTCGCGCGACTTCGGACCTGCGCGTCTGGAAGACAGTCCTGTTCGTGCTTCTTGTAGCTGACTTCGGACACTTGTACACAGTTAGAAGCTTGGGGCCGGAAGTGTACTATAACGTTGCCAAGTGGAATGCCATCGACTGGGGGAACGTCCCGTTCGTCTACTTTGGTGCCTCGATGAGGATTGCGTTTCTGGCCGGCGTCGGATTAAGCGGTCGACCGGCGCCTGCGAGAAAGCAACAGTAGAGCATGGGAGAGTTCGCCAAGCTCAAATAACCTATTCAGCTAGGATGTTGCTTCAGCACTGGAGGTCCGCCCGATCATTGTACCGAGCCCGAGTCGCCGATGTTCGGTCTGCACAGAACCGCTGCCGAATGTACAAATTCGTGGAGAGAACTGAAGAAAAGGCGCCGTTGACAGCAAGAAAAGAAGGAGGAAATGCTAGCTGCTGGAAGATACAATCCAAATGAAGACTGGAACAACCCCGAGCCAGTACCGACATGTTATCCTGGTCACCCGCTCGAGCAGCGTCACGCATACCTCGATGAGATGCAGCGCAGTAAAAGGATCGAACAAGCACACACGACGGGATTAGATGGTTGGCTAGGGACATTTGCACAGCACACATGCACTCGGAGCAATTTGCCGAGATACAGCGAAGAAGGGAGTCCAGACGTCCAACGCAGCGAGGTTGGCCCCTTGACGAAGATTTTTGGTCCAGGCCAAGCCCGGCGTTATCTGTGATCGTGGGTTTCCCATCCGGTGTTCAACGTTCGAGAGGGGAATCCTATAATTGTGAATGGTGGGATTTTCGGCAGCCGGTCTCGGAAAATCTTCCGGACAATTTCCCTCCCCCAACCCCCGGAGGCGCCACCTCGAATAGGGTGGATTACGGGGTGCAATTGGCGGGCAATGGTGGGGTATCATCGCGGGGCAGCGCGACAAGATGGATGGAGGGCGGGTGAATGTAAGAAAGTGACGGAGAAGGATGCGAGCTCAACAAGTCTTACAGCAGAGGCATTAAACGGCCAAGACGACAAGAACCGATTCGATTTCGAGAAACATACTCTATCTCATGCCGTGCCGTTACCAACACAGCGATCTGCTACGGACGGATGGATGAAGGAAGCCAATTGCGCGAAGTCGTAGGAGAATCGAATGAGAGAGCCGTGGTTTTCTTCCAACGGGCGCCTAGCCTTGAGCAAGGGTCCCGCCCCAATCTAGCTCGCATGGGCAGACATTGCGGCGCGACATAAGCCCCTCCTCGTCCGAGCTGGGAGGTGCCCCTCACTCAAGGATAGATGTCCTACGCTCCACGCGCAGCGCCGCGACAAATGAGATGGTGGGGGGTTCAGGAGCAGCTCTGAAATGGTCAGGGTATTTCACCCGGCGTGGTTCCCTCTGCCCGTTGTGAGCAGCTTCCGATTCTTTCTTTCTTCCTCCTTCTCTCCCTCTTCTCTCGTGCCATTCTACTGCTTTCTGGCATAAGACCAAAGCCGTATCTTGAAAATATTCAGACGAATCTACAAGACCGCTCCTCACTCGAACACGTTCATCCATCATGTCGATCCCCGAGAAGTTCACCGGCTTCCAGGTCAATAGTGCCGAGACATGGCAAGACTTCAAGAAGCAGGAGTTTGACCCCAAGCCGTTTGGCGACTACGACGTCGATATCAAGATTGAGTGCTGCGGTGTCTGCGCCAGTGATGTTCACACGATCAAGGGTGACTGGGGTGCTCAGCCCTACCCTCTGGCCGTCGGCCACGGTGAGCTCATGATGGTTACTGTATCTGTCTGATTTGTAGACTAATTCTCGTCTGTCTAGAAATCGTCGGAAAGGCCCTGAGAGTCGGCTCCAAGGTGACCAAGATTAAGGAGGGCTCGCGTGTCGGTGTCGGAGCCCAGTCCTACGCCTGCCTCGAGTGCCGTCAGTGCAAGAACGATAACGAGACATACTGCAAGCACCAGCTTGACACCTACGGCTCGACGTTCCCCGACTCCGGCGCAATCTCCCAGGGTGGCTACTCCTCTCACGTTCGCACACACGAGCACTGGTACGTGTATCGATATCTTTTAAGTGAGATGCATGCTAATAGAGCAACAGGGTCTTCCCCATTCCTGAGGCCCTTCCCAGCACTATGGCTGCTCCCATGCTTTGCGCTGGCCTGACAGCTTACAGCCCTCTGATCAGAAACGGTTGCGGCCCTGGGAAGAAGGTCGGCATTGTCGGTATCGGTGGCATCGGTCACTTTGGTGTCATGTTTGCCAAGGCTCTGGGCGCTGAGGTCTGGGCCATTTCCCGATCGCGATCCAAGGAAGCGGACTCTCTGAAGATGGGCGCCGACGGCTACCTGGCGAGCGGTGAGAAGGGCTGGAACGAGCCCCACAAGATGACCTTTGACCTCATCCTCAACACGGCTAACTCATTCGAGGGCTTCGACCTGTCTGCCTACCTCAGCCTTCTTGATGTCCACGGGAAGTGGGTGTCTGTTGGTCTCCCTGGTGGCGGTGGTATCACCGTTCGCAACCAGGACTTCCTCCCTAACGGCTGCTTCATTGGCAGCTCCCACTTGGGCAGCAGACGCGAGACCTTGGAGATGTTGCAGCTCGCTGCTGACAAGGGCATCAAGACGTGGGTGCAGGAGGTTCCCATCAGCGCTGATGGTTTGAGGTCGGCGATGAACGGCATTGAGGATTCTAGCGTCCGCTACAGATACTGCCTAACCAATTACGAGGAGGCGTTTGGCCAGTAGGCATGAGGTGGACTGTGTGGGTGTGATGTGAATAGCGAAGCAAAAGAATACCATTTCATGACCAATTGCAAATGCACATGATCTGGACCCGTATCTCAGAAGAAGCTCTTATCGAACCAGCGGACCGTCAGATCTCCCAGCATCATCAGGGGATCTGCAAGAATCACAGCGGAATGCGACCGATTAGAGCGCCGTCATTCCGGGTATTGTTTTTCTGGCGCATTGGAGATGAATCCCTCCTGACTTTTGATTTTGGTACCACTGGTCCGGTACGCCCGGTGCGCCGGTCATCGGCGACGCAAACAAGGTTCCGCGGACAGACAAGCAGCGACAGGGGTCTGAGAAGCTCAGCCATTGCGGCTGTGTGCGGTGATATCCCCAGCCGCCCGAGGAGACCAGGGTCTCGGCAAGGTGACATGACTGATCTGATCGATTGATCTGGGGAAAACGTCTAGCGTCTTTCAATCTGACCTCATCCATCTTCCACATTGTTCCTCGTTCACAAAAACTTCTCATTCGTAACACTGGGGAATTCCGCCGGACGGCAGAGGATGTTGAGTTTGGGTTGAACGGAACAGAGAGACACATTGACATGATGAGCGCTTTCCTGGATGCCAGTAATGGCCCGCCGGCGGATGATTCGATGCCCAGCTATGAGGAGGCGGTTGCAGGAGGGTGAGTTTCTTTGTGTGACGTTTCCGCACTCGACACGCGACAAATTTTCAAAATCACTCAAGATGAAGTCTTCAATGACTGACCATATTTACAGCGCGCAGCGGGTTGCAGTAAGGACACAATCCGTCTCGGGATCAATACAATCCCTCAACCTGCACGACGGCACCCTCCCACCATCAATCCTGCGCCTCAAACACCTCGGCCGCACCATCCCCCACAATGGACCAGTCACCTCCATCGCCGTCAGTCCCAAAGGCTATGTTGCATCCTCCCAGGACAACACGGGCACCGCCTTACCCTCCAGCACCAAGATCTGGGACTTTTCCCAGAAATCCGGCGCCGTGGGCGCGCGGGTCGTGGCATCAGAAATCAACAACGATGCGCCTGTGGTAGTCTTTAGCCCGGACGGGAAACTGACGGCCGTGGTGGAGAAAGATGCGGGATGGAAGCGGGAGTGGCGGGTGAAGCTTCGCGCGGGGGAAGAAGGGCGACATGTGCGGTGCGCATTGAATGGTGTCGGGCCGCCGGCGGCGTTTAGTCCCGATGGGAAGAAGCTTGCGGCAGCGGACCCGTCGGGGCTTGTGGTTGTGTTTGAGGCGGCGACGAGTCCGCCTGGGATGCCGCCTACGAAGAAGGTGGCGGGTGTGATGAACCATGCTGCGCCGACGCATGTTCTCTTCATGCCGAATGGCGCGGACCTTGTGACGCTGTCGAGGGATGGGACGGTGAGGATATCGGAGGCCAAGACGGGGAGGACGTTACGGCGGATGGAGGTGGATGGGGTTGTGACGGGGACGGGGACGGGTGCGCGGGCGTTAGGGGTTTCGCCGGATGGGAGGGTGGTCGTGTCGGTGTGGGCGAGGGCTGTGTATGTGTGGGAGCATGAGGCTGGGCGGGTGTCGAGTTGGGAGATGAACAAGGTGAGGAACAACGAGGGGTGGCCGCTGGCGGTGTCGCCTGATTGTCGGTTCCTGGCGTGTCGGACGGAGGGGGGGATGGATATCTCGGATGTGTACTCTGGGCAGGTCCTGGCTGAGGTGACGACGGCGTCGGGGATCGACGGGCTGGTCACGGCGGCGGGTTTCTCGATGGATGGGAAGATGATGGCTGTTGGGCGGCATAGTGGAGTTGTTGATGTGTGGAATCTGGCGCCCTACGAACGTTGATGGTGATTCTACGTATGAATACAAAGGGGCAAGCGTGGCTCGGCTGATTCAACCTGGAAAACGGCGATGAACGAGGCGGGTCACATTTATGGACAAAGGCTTCGTCAAATCAAGGCAAAAGAATCATACCTAGTACTGTACTCATACCGGGTTTCACTTGGAATTGATACGTAGCTTGATTACATCTTGTCTACGGGGGCAGCATAATTCGAAGCTTCCAAATCAGGGTATTGTGAGATGCCACCACTAGATGTGATACGCAAGAGAGGTGGCTATAAAATGGGAATCTCAGATCCAGTTTGAATTATGTCGTCCCTTGTTGTAGAAGTCAATTACATCGGGATCAGCTGGTTCGGATGAAATCAGCGATCCTTCAGTATCAGTGCAGGAGGGATACTGTAGACTATTCAATTACCTATGATACTTACTAATACGCCAACCCTCTCGTAATTGAGACGCTGAAGTGAAGTACAAGATTACTTCATGAAATCGAGTTGATGCTCGGGATCCTAATTGCAAGTTGAGGGTGAGGTGGGAGGTGAGAGGTGAGAGGTGAGAGAGAACAGGAGAGTAAACATACTTCCCGCTTTCGACTAGACAGTGCCCTGTGTGCTCGTGTAACCAGCAACAAATACGTCCATTGCTGTCTGAGCGAACAAAGGTTGCGGAGGTGACGCAGCTTGGATAACTAAGTCAACTTAAGGTATTACAGGTCAATATGAGAAGACGTTAAGGTGCATCAATCAAAGCGAGTAACAAGTCGATGTCATGAGCGACCAATGGTACAATGTCCATCAACTGGCCCCGAAAGTCTGTTCAATGCGCCCAACGCTCCCTGTTGTAATCACGCCTTTGGAGGTATGATGACATTTGCCAGTTGTGAGATGTGAGGGGCCTAGTTGATGAGACATGGAAACTGAAGTCAATGGCGATTCAAAGAGGGTACTTGATATATGTAGGCGTCTGGAGAGGACAAGATGTTTTTTTTTTTTTTTTTTTTTTTTTTACCATCGCTCGCTCATCACATAATTCATCTCTTAGCTATTGATGATCCCAACCTTGAGTGAGTGAGTGAGTACTGAGTGAGGAGTGAGAGAGGGGAGATGAGAAGACTCGGCGATTGCGATTGAGAAATGGCCCAAGCTTTTCCACCGTGCCCCTCATCCCAAAAGGGGATAGTGCGGGGTCCAAGGCTCGCGCAACAATTCTGGGCACAGTTGGCAGTTGGCAGTTGCCCTGGGCAGTGGGGGACGTACCTGACCGTGGGCGCAATTGTACGCTGTGTGGCCGCCTCTGACTCCTTTCCCCGAGAAAGTCGGCATCTCAAGTTTCCATTCTTTCTTTTCCTCCCTCTCCTCTTCACACACAGCAAACGCACACATCATGGCGCCGAATCCCATTCTGCCCGTCAAGGGCAAGAACAACGTTCTCATCACCTCCGCCCTTCCCTACGTCAACAACGTTCCTCATCTCGGTAACATCATTGGCAGTGTCCTGTCTGCTGATGTCTTTGCGCGGTACTCCCGTGCTCGCGGAAACCCCACCATCTACAGTATGTTGTGACTACACCTCTCCCTTGAGTGTTTCCCAATCCCGGCTGATTCCGTTCATTACAGTCTGCGGTTCCGACGAGTATGGCACTGCCACCGAGACCAAGGCCCTTGAGGAGGGCGTAACCCCATCCGAGCTGTGCGCAAAGTACCACGCCCTCCACAAGGGCATCTACGACTACTTTGATATCTCTTTCGACATCTTCGGCCGAACCCCGACCGCCCAACAGACCGAGATTGTCCAGGACATCTTCACCAAGTTGTGGAAGAACGGATACATTGAGGAGCGCGAGACCGTCCAACCTTTCTGCCCCGTCGAGGCCCACCAGTCTTTCCTCGCTGATCGATTCGTCGAGGGTGTCTGCTCCATCTGCGCCTACGATGGCGCAAGAGGCGACCAGTGTGACAAGTGCGGCAACCTTCTCGACCCCCTCGAGCCCGAACCCGAAGCCAACGCTTCTGCCGACGACGACGTTGCCGCGAAACCTACCGGCTTCTTGATCAAGCCCCGCTGCAAGCTCGACGGAGCTACCCCAGAGAAGCGCAAGACAAAGCACTTGTTCCTCAAACTCGACGCACTCAAGGACGACCTGGTCAAGTGGTTCAAGGAGTCTAGCAAGAAGGGCTCATGGAGCAACAATGCCGAGCAGATTACCCAGGCCTGGATCGACAAGGGCCTCAAGCCCCGTGGTATCACCAGAGATCTCAAGTGGGGTGTCCCGATCCCGACTCACGAGGTCGGAGAGGAGTACGCTAGAAAGGTCTTCTACGTCTGGTTCGACGCCTGTATCGGATACGTCTCCATCACCAAGAATTACACCGACGGCGACAACCTCGAGGGCAAGAACTGGGAGCAGTGGTGGAAGAACCCCGATGACGTGAAGCTATACCAATTCATGGGCAAGGACAACGTTCAGTTCCACACCATCATCTTCCCCGGATCTCAGCTCGGCACCGGCGAGAACTGGACCAAGCTGCACAAGATCTCCACCACCGAGTACCTCAACTACGAGGGTGGCAAGTTCAGCAAGTCGAGAGGTGTCGGTGTCTTTGGCAACCAGGTCCAGCAGACTGGTGTGCCCGTCGATGTCTGGAGATACTACTTGCTGTCTCGCCGTCCCGAGACTTCCGATTCCGAGTTCATGTGGCAAGAGATGGTTGACGGCAACAACAATGAGCTCCTGAAGAACCTCGGCAACTTCTGCCAGAGAGTCAACAAGTTCTGCCAGGCCAAGACGGAAGGCGCAGTCCCCGAATACACAAAGTACAGCGACGACTACCTGAAGAAGCACATCGAGGAGGTCAACGCCCTGCTCAAGGAGTACATCAGCAACATGGAGGCCACCAAGATGAGGGCTGGCCTTCAGAGCATCATGTCTATCTCTGCGTATGTTGATCCATAATCTTCCCCTTTATTTGGCCATTCCAGTTAACAATATCACTAGCCTCGGCAACAAGCTGCTTCAGGACAACAAGCTTGACAACAGACTTCTCACCGAAGAGCCCGACCGCTGCGCCGCCGTCATCGGTCTCGCGCTCAACCAGATCGACCTCTTGGCCTCTCTCGTTGCCCCGTACCTGCCCAACACCTCTACTGCTATACTCAAGC